CGGCAACATCTGTCGGAGCCCAGCAGTCGAGGGAGTCTTCAGAGACATGGTTCACAAGGGGGGTCTCGATTCCAAGTTCAACATCCACTCTGCCGGTACCATCAATAACCACGAGGTAGACGTAAAACAAGAAAAAGGTTGTATCATCTGGGTTTGGGTTTCTGAATATTAGGTACTAGCACAGAGGCCGGCCTGTTGGCCGGCAAGTTGTTATTATTGTAGTACTTTTTATTTTTTCTTAGTTTTATGGTAGTTTTTAGCAGCATAGAGTTAGTGGGATTAATTGACAACTATTTCCAATCACTAACAACTGGTAAAAAGAAGTCGAGGATATATAATTTCTAAATAAATTGCAGCTCTTGAGCTTGCTCGGTTGTTCAGTGGTAGTAGTTTGGATTATTGATGTAGTGGTAGTAGTTTGGATTATTGAAGTATGAAAACAGACAAAGCAATCCAGGGGATGCAATACAAAATAGATAGGGCAACGCCTGCAAGATAAAAGCCTTTTATCCAACCTTTTAGAGGATTAATATCCTTTAATCATCATACGCTGAAATCACTTGCTTCTTGCCTTCATATTAGGTTGTGTAGTTGCAATAAATTTGCAACTTCACCTATGTCACCTTGTTGTGATACATGAGAAGCTATCTCTTATATCTCAATGCCACAACGAATATATTGGGAGGAGCTGTCTTTTGTAGAGGGGGGTCATTTCCTGAGACAGATAAGGCAAAAAGAATCAACAGCAACATAGGTCAAAGGCAAAGACATAGAAGCATCGAAATTGTAGTATCGTGATAGATCCAACAAAACTCCATCATTCCCTAGCACGAGGACCGACCCGTTGGTCGGGGGAGGTTAGACCGAGAACATGGTATATAATAATGCATATCTTAGATGCTCATATATGCATGTAACGTTTGTGTATGCATAATAAGAAAAGGAGAATATGATCTAAGAATAATTATTCGATGAAACGGAATACATATAATTAATTGTCTTTCAATACTTAAATAGACCATATAATTGAATATTAGAGGTGCTTCTTATAATAAATATGTAGTCGCAAATATGATCGGCAACAATGTAATAATTTCCATGCAACAAATACTTTTTTGATGAAATAAAAAAAAATTATGAATATAATATTGCATTGAAGGTAGGTCTATGCGACGAATGAAGATTTGCAAACCTCTTACTATGGAAGAAGGGGATAATCGAAATGAAGTTAACCGGTTAGGTCTACAATTGAAGAAATGTTAGTATGTTGTTTGGCAATTTTGTATGAGTCCTCTTTAATAGTGTTTTTCATTTCGCTCAGTCTGACATAAGCAATGACATATATCAAAGTTATATACATATGGTTTAGGCTAGCATACGCCTTACCGTATGACTATCGAGTTTTGTTATTTAGACCATTATTTAACTGGAATTTGGGACATGATATTATGACCTAACCTCTAATGGGTGAATCCAAGTCCCCAATTTTTCTAACCCAAAACATAAGATTCATTTTATCTTAAAATGAAAATCAACGATTCTGATTCGCCGAAATCACCAAAGTACAATAATAAGTGTGAACGCAAGCGTAGAGCGTATGTCAGACATACGCTAGCTTTTGTCATATATATACACACACAGACACATACACACACTACCAATTTAGTAAAGGGAGCGACTATAAAGGATGATTCAAGTTTAATTATATTTAAATGTTAGCGATGCATCAAAGTAATACTTTCCTAGGAATGATAAAGCAATTTAGTAATAGGATTATGCTAATTGTAAGTGGGAATGAGAATATAATTGTGCAATAGTAAACAAAATTTCAGAAATGAAATGCTTCTTGTTTGTTCCACATATATTGAAGTAGGTACACAAACCACAATTGATTGAGGTTCATTGTGTATTACAACTTCAAATTCATAAATTAAGGAGTATTTTAGTACCATAACGATCAAATGTCCCCTAATGTGTAGAAAGTGAATTGGACATAACATCTAAAACATTAAAGAAGACTTCAAATGACATTAGTAGTGAAAAACTAACTCTAATAGTTTTAGGTGTACATTTTTAGCCATTTCATGGAAAGTTGCCTAAATGAGTATCTGGAAGTGCAAGAAGATAGATATGATCAAGAACCCAACAATCTAGTGTAGGAAACCATCTGAGTGGGCGGATTTCAAAATAACTGTCGACGATACATGTCTGTCGGGTCGGGGAACATGCTTTGGCGTGGTGATCAGGGAAAGAAGTAGAAGATTCCGAGCCACGACGGTCAGGAGAACAAGCTGGCAATGGGAACCCCCTGTCCTGTGGCAGAGGCTTTCGCAGTGTAGGTCGGTATGGAAATGGTTGAACGACTTCAGATCTAGTCGGTAGAGATACATACGGACTGCCAGGTGGTGGCAAGGCGCATCACAGGCCGAACGACCTCAACTATGGAATTGGGCCAAAACTGCAAAGAAATTAAGGACTCGGCCCATTCTTTTGGTTGGATTGGCTAGAGTTATGTGGGACGAAGTGCAAATAAATCTGCTCACTGTGCGGCCCATAATAATTGTAATTGGGAGGAAGATGAGCATTTGGTGGATAGACCACAAATTTTCTTAGTCTTTCTTCTTAGAGATAAGGACCAAATGTTGATTTCACATCATTAAGAATATAATCAGAGGTACTATTAAAAGATTACATGACATGGTTTGTATTTAATTAATGAATTGAAAGAAGAAACGAAGGTCACATAAAGGTTAAAGGGACCTAGTTCCGAATATGAGCTCTAGTATGCTTTTGGTTACCACGTCAATTATGATTTTTTTTCTTCTGGCTGTTAGTATTCTAAAACACTATCTATCATCCAATTTAAAAATATATCATTAGTTAGTTTTTTCATTTTCTTTATCTAACCGCGATTACATATTCTGCATGCCCTTAATGCTCAAATTTCGTACTTACCCCTAATATTCATATGCCAAAGACAATTATACCTTCCGGAGATGATGAACTATCGTCATGGTAAGAACAAATATGAGCTCTAGTATGCTTTTGGTTACCACGTCAATTAGGATTTTTTTCTTCTGGTTGTTAGTATTCTAAAACACTATCTATCATCCAATTTAAAAATATATCATTAGTTAGTTTTTTCATTTTCTTTATCTAACCGCAATTACATATTCTGCATGCCCTTAATGCTCAAATTTCGTACTTACCCCTAATATTCATATGCCAAAGACAGAAATACCTTCCGGAGATGATGAACTATCGTCATGGTAAGAACAAATAAAATTCAAATTAATTTCCTTAGTCTCCAAACATATGACCAAAACTCATGAACCTCAATATGCTGAAGTTGTGTGTTAAAAGTATCGATCCCTCTGCATTCAAAGATTATTCATCTCAAATTAAATAAACTAAAAATCAACAAATTTAAGTAGATTAGTGTACGAAACATTAGACTAAGAAGTACTTTGGTTAAGGTGGTCCCTTTCAATATCAATTTGATGTTTGAACGGTGCTTAGGCTGCATGAAAATGGCTCTCATCAACCCCGAGGAAGAACATAAGCATAAGTATAAAGAAATTAACAAATTGCGCCCATTGTGAAAGTACGTTGGTCCCTTAAGGGTCGAACACGAAGACTAATTGTTATAGAGGATGAGAGCCTGATAGTAGATTGATTATGAACCACAGAACCTAACCAACACGGCATAGGTAGGGGTGGGCATTCGGTCGGTTCGGTTCAAACCGAACCGAACAGATGGATACCGGGGGCCTAATTCCCAATGTTGTCAGAACCGAACCGGAGTATCAACCGATATAATGAACGGTTCGCATTTTAATGGTTTTACCGCTATTAAACCGTTAAAAATCCATTAATGAACCGGTACTTAATAATAAAAACATTATAATTACTACACACTTCTTAAGTATAATAAACCGCATTACTATTAGTTAACAAATTTAAAACATCTACAAAGAAACACCCAATTTTGAAAGTTGCTCCATTGTAGACATGAAATCCATAATTCAAAATTCTATTTATAAACCATTTCATATGTTTTTTTTGGGTAAACCATTTCATATGTTCAATCAAAGTGTAGATGAACATTTGACCGAAATAAAAGAAATTAGTTCTCAAATATAATCTGTCAATTTAGTTTATTAGAATAAACAAAAGTTAAAAAATCTAAAAAAGTCACCTAATTAATAGAAACCGCATTTCTTAAATTGTTTCCAAATCCCAAGACTAAAATCGGCTTCCAACAAAGAAAATCGAAAAAGAAAAGTTGTTTTTGATCTTTCTTATGTTTTCGGAGGAAACAAAAAGGCAAAATCATAAATGATATTCCAATTCCCAAAGACCCAGTGAATAATCCGACGCGTATCTCCAGTTTCTTCTGAATGGGCTGTTAGAGGGATTCAAACCAGTTGCCCGGTTTTAACGCTTCGAATGGTTAAGCGTTCAAACCGTTAACCAGCTGGTCAGTTCAACCGAAGCGTTTTTATAGCTGTTCCAAGCCGGATTGGTAGTCGGGTCCCGGTTTTGCCGGCTCGACCGGTTCCGCTCGGTTTTAACAACAGTGCTAATTCCAGCTATAACCCAAACAATCCCGAACCGAATCATAACTCGGTTCGGTTCTTTCTCCAAACCCGATGATGGAAGCTGTTTGCGTTTTGGCCACTTGACTCCTGCGTTTTGTGGACACCTATTTGGAAAAAACGACAACTCTCTAGGCCTATCTTCTTATTTCTCCCCTTGACTCCTCAGATGCACTCTCTCTCTCTCTCTCTCTCTCCAACCAACAAACGATGTAGCGACGGCGAGCACAAGGTAGAGCTTGAAGCAGAGCACAACAGAGCTGCATGACGACGGATGGTAGAGATCTCTCCTCCTTCTCCGGTCTCGAAGCGGCGTAGATCATTAAGGGTTCAAAAAGGAAGAAAGTAAATCGGCGGACGACGGCAGTTGGCAACGGCGATTGAAGACAGCGTTAGTGACAACTTCGGCGGACGACGATGAAGGTTCGTATAGCTTTAGATCTAAGCATGCATGTCATTTTTTGGCATACTTTATATCTTGCGAGGCTCCAGCTTCAAATCTTCAATAGCATCGTCTTAGTCTCTGTTTCTGTTTTCAATTCAGGACTTCAGGTGGAGAAGAGGGCGCTGCGACGGGGAAGAGAAAGCGGCGAAGAAAGGTCGATACCGGCGGACGGCGGCGAAGGACGGCGGTGAAAGGTTGATGATGTCGATCGTTCGAATTGCAAGGATGATGGATAGCTGGTGTGTGGTGGCTGCCCGCTGCGCTGCCTGTGAGAGATGAGAAGAGAGCTGCAGCTGCTGCCTCTCTCGTTCAATTCATTAGGTTTAGGGTTGGGCTTTGGACTTCATTTGGGCTGTGGGGTGAGTTGAGTGTTTGGATTTTATTTGGGCTGGGGTGAGTTGAGTTTATTTGGGCTTTGAGTTAAAACGCAAAGCAACATTTAAATGAGATGGAATTGTCAGAATTACCCTTCCGTGAAGCTCTCTATGGGCAGCAAATTCAAAATGCTGCAATTTGGAGTGGTGAATCCGCTTCATAAATTATATAGATTTATAGAATAATAGGAATTAAGTTTTATTTTTATTTTTAGTAGTTGTAAAATGATGTGGAAATTTTAAATGTTTAAATTTTATTATTTTAATATTTTTTAATGGCCACGTCACTCATTTAACGGTCAACTATAATAGTTGACTGCCACATCAGCAAAAACTAACGGAGACTAACGGAGAGTGACCAAATTTGAACTATTGAACTAATCTTAGTGACCATAAATGGAATTAAATATTTTCAGTGACCAAACATGAACGTTTTTAGTAAACCCAGTGACCAACATTGCAATTAACCCTGATCTTGTATTTTTTCACAAAAGCAAAAACATACTGATAAAAGTTACAAAAGGCCTTCACTTTTAATGAATTGATTATTCTCCATTCTATCGATTATAGTATTTTATAAACTAAAAAAATCTTACATAAAACTGATTAGGTGTGTCTTTTTTAATTGGTGGTTACTTTAATTTTTATCCTTTCACTTTTCACATACTATTATATTATAAAGTTAATTCACTAAATAAATATAAATAGTGTGGTTATTGTGAATTTTGTGGGTTAACCGCGGTGGGTAGTGGATAACCACTAACCACAAAAATGGTTATTTTACTACCCACATACAATCCACTACCCACAACTTGTGACTATGGTTACCCACAATAGGTGCGGGTTGGTGCGGTTTGCGGATTATCCACAACCCGCAACCCAAACTTCCACCCCTAGCTAGAGCAGTTACTTTCTAGTGCACTCACTCATTATCGGTTATTAACTTACATTTGTCCAAATACCCAACATGCTCCATTCGTTCAATCGACACCGGCAACAAACTCTCAATAATTGTTATTGTTTGGTCGACAAATCGATATTTTCAATTCGATCAGACGATTAACCGAATAGCTAACAACCATTTATCACCCCTTAATTGTGATATTTACTCCAAAGTGAAACATAAGCTTATCATATAATCTTAAAATCAATGGACAGATTACGATCCGTTTGGGACTTTCCTTGCCTACTCGACCCATTTCTCTATTGTAGAAGTACATGCTTGGGAGAAGTACCCTTCCAATTATACGATCCTGCTCCCTGACGCTGGATAGGACAAAGCAACTTGGCCCTATGTTCCACGGACGGCACGAAATGTAACACTCACCATATAAAACCAACCAAAAAATAAGAACACTAAAAAATAAGGGAAGATTCCTAATACAGTAATACTGAATGGGATTGGCAGCCAATAAGAACATCATCGCTGCCATTGCTAATCGCCCCCAAGAATTTGTGCGTCAGCTCCCACTCCCAATTATCTCAACAACACCTCCCTTCTTACTACACTTCCCAACTGCTCACTCTCCGCTACTTCCTACTCTCACCAAGCTCGCACCTTGTCCAGCGCCCATGTAAGTTCCTCCCTTCCCGTTCTGATTTCCCCGCTGCTCTTTTCTCGTTCTGATTTCCCTGATATTCTGCTAGTCTTTCGAAAATCGAAACAAGGGATTTTTTTTTCTGCCATACAAGGTGTTTTAGGGTGGCAAAATTGAAGAGATAGCATTGCTTGTGTTGATTATTCCTGTGATTGCCTCCGTGTGTAGTGGAAGAGTTTCAGCTTCTGCGAGAATGGAGGGTTCCAAAGCTGCTCCAGCCAAGACGCTGCCGCTGGGATTGGACCCAACGATGGAGGAAGAGTACGAATCGCAGTCCAAGTTGCTCCGAGAGTTCGCTAGTATCTCAAGCATTGACAAGGCGTGGACTTTCAAGTCTGAGAATGGTCTGATGACTCTTTCTTTGACTGCCCATTTTAGGATTGGTCTGCCGTCTCATGATTTTCTGTTTCTCCATTTTGCTAACTGACATTAGATGTTGTGATGCAGGAATTGGTTCGCAGGCAATGTTTGCAATTAGCCAACCGAATCTTCTGGCTAATAAAAGGAGGAAATCCATTCTGTCTGCTAATGTGTCAAAGGGGAGTAGCAGTTCAGTGAGCTTTCAGTGGGCACCATTTCCTGTTGAGATGACTGGTGTCGCTACAATGGTTCCTTCCCCTTCAGGTTCCAAACTTCTAGTGGTTAGGAACCCAGAAAGCGAGTCACCTGTTCAGTTTGAAATCTGGAGTCAGTCTCAATTGGAAAAGGAGTTCCAGATTCCACAGTCTGTTCATGGATCAGTGTACACTGATGGCTGGTAGACCAATCTGTTCACTTACTGAGTTTGTTATTTCATAAATATGTGTGTGGATGTTGAAAGCTTTCCTTTTTTTTTTTTAGGTTCGAGGGGATCTCATGGAACTCGGATGAAACTCACATTGCATATGTTGCCGAGGAGCCAACTCCTGTCAAGCCGACATTTGATGGTAAAGGGTATAAGAAATGTGGTTCTGCTGAAAAGGATTGTAATAGCTGGAAAGGCCTGGGGGAATGGGAGGAAGAATGGGGAGAGACATACGCTGGGAAAAGGCGACCTGTGGTCTTTGTTATTGATACTAGCAGGTCTTCTTTCTGTCTTTGCCTTTAATCAATCATCACCCTTTAGAGCGAATTCGGAGTGAGTGATCTAGTAAATTGTCATATGGTGACTTTGATGCTTCTCATTATGTCCAGTGGAGAGGTTCAGCTTGTTAAAGGGATTGCAAAACATTTAAGCGCTGGCCAAGTTGTTTGGGCTCCTTCTATGGAAAGCTCGCCTCAGTATTTGGTTTTTGTTGGATGGTCATCGGAAAGAGGGAAGCTTGGCATAAAGTACTGCTATAATAGGCCTTGTGCTTTATATGCTGCCAGAGCACCGTTCTTTGGATCAGATGCCAAAAGTGAACAGAAGTGAGTGACTAATCATTCAGTTCCATCTAGTTTCTTCTACTTGATAAAGGTTTTCGTCCTGACAACTGAGTTTCCTGACTATCATTTGATTTGCTGTTTTATTCTTCCAGAGAGATTCCTGCTGTAGACTCAAATGTGATTAACGTAACTGAAGGCCTTGGTAGTGCTTTCTTTCCTCTGTTCAGGTATTTAAATAATCTTTCTTGGCCTTGTGAGTATGCATATATTTAGACATTACTATTAGCAGAGCTACTGAAATAAATGCACTTCCATCTCTGTCTGTTTTCTATCCAGCCCAGATGGAAGGGTTCTAGTGTTTTTATCTGCCAGTAGCTGTGTGGAATCAGGTGCACATTGGGGAACTGAATCACTCCATAGAATTGATTGGCCTTCTGACTTAAAGACACTCTCATCTGCAAAAATAGCTGAAGTGGTAAACTAATCATCTTTCTTTTTCCTAAATATATTTTGCCAGTGGTCAATGGTATTCTTCTGCCTAGTAAGTGTCTTCCATATGCAGATTCCAATCGTTCAGTGTCCAGAAGATGGTGGCTTTCCAGGGCTGTACTATGCGAGTTTGCTTCGTCATCCATGGCTTTCTGATGGATCCACTATAGTACTAAATTCTGTGTGGCACAGCAGTGAGGTTATACTAACTGTGAATGTCTTAAGGTGATTTGAAGTATTCTATTTCTCTGTCTGATGTACTATAATTTTTTTGTATTCTGTTGGTGTTACTAAATTCCTGTTTGTCTTCCAAATATCAGTGGAGATTTGAAGAGAATCAGTCCTGCTGACTCTAGTTCTGCATGGCATGCTCTTACACTGGATGGTGACAACATCATTGCTGGTACTTTCAATTGCCGATGTTTAGCAGTTCCTATGAGGATTGAGTAAATAGAAAGGAAAAACTCTTGACACAATTATTTTTTTCTTCTTTTTGTTTGAAGTTTCAAGCAGCCCAGTTGACCTCCCTGAAATTAAGTATGGGTACATAGAAGTCCAAAATGCTGCTTGGAATTGGTCAAGCGTGCCTAGTCCCATGATTAGATGCTCTGAAAGGGTGCTTATTAGCTGCTTCTTCATATATGCATGTGTTATGATCTCTCTTATGGTTTATTTATCATGTCTTGATACTGTGTATACTTTTACAGGTTGAATCACTGCTCTCGTCTCGTGAATTTAGCATTCTGAATATCCCAGTCAAAGATGTGTCTGCTAACCTGCCAAAAGGTACTGCTTACAATATCAGCTTTTAAAACCAATTCTGTCATCCATCATATAAGATTCTGGTTGATGAAATTTGAAAGATACAGATGTCAAGAATCATATAATATCATGGTTGATGAATTCTTACTGCTTAGGGGTTAGTTTGATAGCCATGTATTTTCAAATACAGATGTTAAGAAATCAGGTACTTTTTTATGAGAATGTGAGTAATGTGAGAATACAATTTTTCGCTTGCTGGGATTGTAATAGCAGACCCCACAATTGAATATACCGTTCAAACCTTTAGTTAAACCCAAAATTTCCACATGGTTTTTCTTACAAAATTCAGACAAGAAAAAAGTTGAATTGTCAAATGCCACACAAGCTCATAATCAGTATGAACAATCACTTGTTACCAAACAACCTCTTAAGTAGAAGACTAACTCTTGGCTGTATCAATTAGGGGTTGCTGATTAATGTCTGATATACTTCTTTCGTGGTATGTTGTTGGACAATGCTGTGATGAGATCTTAATGGTTGGATCATTAGCCCTGAGAGTAAGATTATTAAATTAGTATAGTACTTTGTTTACATACATTGTTTATTTTCTGTTAAATTAGTTATTGCTTAGTTAGGGGCTCACGTCTCTGTTTGTGGAGCTTGTGGCGTTAGAATTAGGAATTGTTTTAGATTACCATTTTACTTTCTGTTGGCGGATTAGCAACAGTTCTTATTAAAGGGCCTTCGGCTTTGGAATAAAGGACATGAAGGAGAAGATTAATTAAAGTACTCGTCATTTCTCTCCCTAAGAGAAACACTGTGGTTCCGTTCTTACCTCAAGAGAACACTAAATTTGGGGGTTTCATTAGAATTAGGAATTGTTTTATATACTTCTTTCATTAGAATACTAAATGCTGGTCAGGGTGCGATATGCATACAAATTTGTCTGAGATGGGAATGTAATCTGGAAATTTCAGGCGCAAGTAAACCTTATGAAGCAATATTTGTCTCTTGCACTTCCAAGAAAAGTGACGAGTTAGATCCACTGATTGTAGTCCTTCACGGAGGCCCACATTCCGTGTCCGTATCTAGCTTCTCCAGGAACCATGCATTTCTGTCATCACTGGGTTACAGTTTGTTGATTGTGAATTACAGGTTAGTGATAAGAAGTTCAACAGTTCTTCAGTTTTTCGGCTTTCGGCTTTGTCTTCACTTCCATAGAACTTTTAAAGGTGGCGTGTATGGTATCTGGCTGGACTTAGTACTCTTACAATCCAATTTTTGAACTTTAATTAAATTGGCAGAGGTTCATTGGGGTTTGGGGAGGAAGCATTGCAGTCTCTTCCAGGAAAAGTTGGAACACAGGTGCATGATATGCTTACGCCCCCACTATGTTTTAAACAATTCCAGTTGGCAAGTAAATGGTTCTTGCTATGATGCTATATACAGTAATACAGCTCCATATAACCTTCTTTGCCATGCATTCACAGGATGTGAATGATGTGCTTGCAGCTATAGATCACGCCATTGACAAGGGACTTGCTAGCCCCAATAGAATAGCTGTGGTTGGGGGCTCCCATGGGGGCTTCCTCACAACTCACCTCATTGGCCAGGTCTGATAGCTAAGTCATACAATTCCCGAATGAGGTTTCCCTGAATGAGTGATCTATCAAACTGAATATTTCTCGCAGGCGCCGGACAAGTTTGCTGCAGCAGCTGCAAGGAATCCGGTCTGCAACCTTGCATCAATGGTGGGGACAACAGATATCCCTGATTGGTGCTACTTTGAAGCATATGGAAGTGAGGGGAAGGATAAGTTTACCGAAGCAACTTCAGCTGCTGACCTAGCCATCTTTCACAGCAAATCTCCCATTTCACACATCTCTAAAGTAATAATGCCATCAAGTAGAAACCAAAATAGTCTTTTCCTGTCCTTGAATGATACTGCAAGAAATTCAACATTCAACCAAACTTTTGTAATGATCTTGCAGGTCAAAACACCAACAATCTTTCTCATTGGTGCTCAGGATCTCCGCGTTCCACCGTCCAATGGCATACAAGTAAGTCTTTCTGCCAACTCTATTTATTTACGCCATCAAACTTGGAATGCTGCAGCTTTGCACAAAGAACACGTAACAGGAAGGTCAAAAGAAACTCTGTGAAAGTAGTCTACTCTGCTGCTAATGTGAATTGCGTTGCTGGTTTTAAATGCTTGCAGTATGCTCGTGCCTTGAAGGAGAAAGGGGTGGAGACAAAAGTTATAATCTTCCCAAACGATGTCCATGGGATTGAGAGGTAATAAACATGGGCATTCTTCTTAATTCTTATAAAGACGTCCTGACTGTCATGCATAGTTCTTTAAACTTTCTGTTTAACCATATATGCAGGCCGCAATCGGACTATGAGAGCTTCCTAAACATCGGGGTTTGGTTCAAGAAATACTGCAAATGAGCTGCCCTTTTTGTTGCTGGAGATATAAATCATTCAGCAATTTGTTATTGCATCAACTATTATAAGCGAACATTGAAACACAAACATTTTCTTAATCAGTCCTGGATGTCAATGTTCCCACATCCACCTTTGTATATTGATTAATAAACTGTTGTTGTCTTCAATGGGAATAATTGCTGGCTGGTATTTCCCCAAAATATTTCAGTTTGGTCCATCCCTAATTTTTTTTGCTTTGGAAGTCTTTTGGTAGGGGTGGGCATTGACTTGGTCCAGAACCATATAAAATTGAGATAGACCGGATAAACGAAAAATGAGGACCAAAACCAAACCAAAAGTATGTTTGATTCATTTGGTTGGGTTTTGTTCAAATTCAATTTTGGTCCATTTTCTTCATGTTTCAAATAATTCATAGGACCAAAATCGAATAAAATTATATTCGGTCCGATCTGATTCATTCCAAATATAGATTTCATCTGGTGTGCACTGAATCGTTGCACATCCCTTTTCTCTAAAATAAGGGGAAAGGACTTTGTTGGCTTCGAACATTGACCTTAGAAGAGTACGATTTGAGATGTTACGTTCAGTGATTCTCAGGTGGTGATCAATCCCATCACCAACATGCGATCATCATCCAAAGATTTCAAGAGCAAATTCAACAGGGAAGTTTCTGTTTCATATTTATAGAGAGGGCAAACTCTGAAAGCTATTTTAAGAAACACGTTTATTAGGGTTCCTTACGATTCACGTATCCGGATAGATAGAAAGGAATTTAGGGATTGAGAAAAAGAATTAGCAACTAGAGAAGGATAATTGAGAAGTAGGATACTAGGATAGGAAGAACATAATTGATGACTAGGGATTTAGAAGATGTTAGGAAAAGAAGAGAGTGATAAACTGGATAGATTTTGTATAATGATTTCTGATTAATTTTTACTTTATGCATCAACTACATTTATATAGAAAATTATATCGAAACCTACTAATGCCACTCGGTCCACAATTAGCCACAAACCCCCTCTAACCAATAGGTAATAACATGGATATTGATATTATTAGAAAACAACTATCTACCTTTTGGTTTTCACCCTATTTGAGTCTTTAATCCTGTACTATCCAAATGGGTTCTGCATATCCTTAATTATCGCGGTTCTATGAATTTTGAATGAAAATTAAGATGCTAATATCCATTTATCAAAAACAACAGAAACTTGACTTGTTAGAAAAACTATTACATGTCTATAAAAAAAAAACTATTACATGAATAAGCAAGGTAAAAACTGGAGAATATAAAGCAGGCGGTAATTTACAACATATCTTTTACCGGCAACCGGTAACAGATTTTCGATTTCAGCCACGGGAGAAAAAAAAAGTCTCTCCCGCTGCCGCCATTTTTCCAGTTTCCCAATTTGTTATCCATAAACCCCATTCGTCTCCCTTCTCCAGTTCTCCGCAAAGGGGAACTCGACACCTCTCTTTCCCTCCCACAATCAGAATCTTCCTCCAAACATCACCTTCCCGCTCGTCGGAAGGACAATTTCTAAGTTTAAAAAGGTAGGATGTTTGCCAAGTTACAGCTGGATTCTAACTGTTTTCCTGTAGTTTCCACTTTCGCCAAGACCTCGTCCCCAAATGTCGGCGTTTCTGTCCCCACGAAGACCGGAGTATCCATTCCTAGCTTCGAGAAAGTTGAACCGACTGTGAAGCTCGGTGAACAGAGAACTGGCGGAACTTCGGAAGCAGAAAAGGTTAGTGGATTTCGGAGAAGTACAGAGAATCAGAAACCAGGTACTGTTTTCGGCCCTGAACTGGAAAACCCAGATGGCAGACAGAGGAGAACTTCACCGAACGCGTCTACAAGTGGGAAAAGGAAGAATCTTGGCGCGAAATTGAACTGGGTGAAGAGCAATGCTCCAGTGAGAAAAGCGCACACCAAGTGTTCGACGAAATGGGCCACTTACGGTGGCTGTATCCCTTCCATTCTACAAGCTTTGGACACCGTAAAAGACTTGGACGAGGCGTTGCGTCCTTGGGAGGATACCCTCAGCAACAAAGAGAGGAGCATAATCTTGAAGGAGCAATCGAGCTGGGAGAGAGCCTTTGAGATTTTCGAGTGGTTTAAGAGCAAGAGATGTTATGAGCTGAATGTCATCCACTACAACATCATGCTTAGAAGTCTTGGCAGAGCTAAAAAGTGGAGCCTCGTCGAATCTCTCTGCCGTGAAATGGCCGTCAAAGGAATTGCACCCATCAATTCCACTTACGGCACTCTAATTGATGTCTATAGTAAAGGCGGCCTCAAAGAGAAGGCGCTTGCTTGGTTGGAGAAGATGAACCAGCAAGGAATGCTGCCTGATGAAGTCACCATGGGGATAGTGCTGCAAATGTACAAGAAGTCCGGCGAGTTTCAGAAAGTCGAAGACTTTTTCAAGCAATGGAAAATGGATGAACGTGGGGATGGTGATTCTTCACATGACGACCATTCTTTATCCTTATACACGTACAATACCTTGATTGACACGTATGGAAAATCAGGTCAACTCAAAGAAGCATCCAACATCTTCTCAGAGATGCTGACAAAGGGGATTATGCCAACAACTGTGACTTTCAACACCATGATTCACATCTGTGGTAACAATGGTCATCTCGATGAAGTCAAATCACTCATCCAGAAGATGCAGGAGCTTCGGTGTCCAGCAGACACTAGAACCTACAACATTCTGATCTCTCTCCACACGAAGCACGATGATATAGACATGGCAGCTCAATGCCTGAGGAAGATGAAGGAGGAACAATTAGAGCCAGACCTAGTGAGTTATCGCACTCTCTTGTATGCATTCTCCATAAGGCACATGGTTACTGAAGCCGAGGATCTATTATCAGAAATGGATGAAAAGGGTTTGGAGATCGACGAGTATACACAGTCAGCTTTGACTCGAATGTACATAGACGTCGGGTTGCTTGAGAAGTCATGGCTGTGGTTCATGAGGTTCCATGGAACTGGAAATATGACCTCTGAATGCTATTCTGCTACTATAGATGCATATGGCGAGCGTGGGTATATTTCAGAAGCCGAGGAGGTGTTTCTTTGCTCGCAAAAGAATAAAAAGTTGAGTGTACTAGAGTTCAACGTGATGATAAAAGCATACGGCTACGTCAAGAACTTTGTCAAGGCCTGTGAGTTGTTTGATAGCATCGAAAGCCATGGTGTGATTCCAGACAGGTGTAGTTATGGCTCTCTAATCCAGATTTTGGCAGGAGCAGACTTGGCTGCAAAGGCACAACACTATCTCAATAAGATGCAAGAAGCAGGATTGATTAGTGATTGCATTACCTACTGTGCTGTGATCTCTAGCTATGCCAAATCGGGAAGACTGGACATGGCTAAGAAGCTGTACAACGAAATGATCGAGTTTGAAGTGAAGCCAGACGTCATCGTTTATGGGATTTTGATAAACGCCTCAGCAGAAGCTGGAAACACAGAAGAAGCCATCGGATACATAGACGCAATGAGGAAATCCGGCTTGCCAGGAAACGCGGTCATCTACAACTCATTGATCAAGCTGTACACAAGAGTTGGCTACTTGAAGGAAGCAGAGGAGACATACAAGCTGCTTTTGTCATCTGATACAGGTCCCGACGTGTACTGCTCGAACTGCATGATCGATCTCTACTGCGAGCATTCAATGGCCAAACAGGCGGAAGAAATCTTTCGGAGGATGAAGCGAAATGGGGAAGCTAACGAGTTCGCCTACGCAATGATGCTGTGCATGTACAAAAGGCTCGGGAGGTTCCAGGAAGCGAGCCGGGTTGCTCGAGAGATGAGGACCCTCGGGCTCCTGAGCAACTTGTTGAGCTACAATAGCGTGATTGGCTTGTACTCATTGGACGGAAGGTTCAACGATGCTGTGGCGACGTTTAAGGAGATGTTGGATGATGGTGGAGTTCTGCCGGATGATTTTACGTTCAAATCGTTAGGGCTTGTGTTGGTGAAATGTGGGATCTCGAAGCGGGCTGTTGCGAGACTTGAAGCTGGGTTGAAGAAGGATTACCAGAGTGGTTTGCAGGCTTGGTTGATTGCTCTTTGTACTATTGTAGATGTAGAAGTTGACTGTGAAGAAGATGGCAGCCATTGAAGTTGCAGCACTGTATATGTAAATTATGTATAATCTTCAGAACAAAATTTAGTCAAAACAGAAGTTTTCTTTCATTGATCAAGCCTAGTTTACAGCAAAGAAGGACAAATCACAAACAGAAATCTAATTTACCATTTGCTATAGTAGGTTACTGAAAGTGAAAAAAACAAAAAAGAATCCTTTTTTTGGGTCATTTACAGAACAAAAAAGAAGATCGAAGTTGTATCCCTCCCCCACTCTCTCCCTCCTTTCAATTCCACCCCCCCATCCGCGGAGCAAACCAGTCCCCGGCCGCCGGATTCCGGCCAGTCATCTCACACAGCAGCGGCTGTAAGATCACCATGCCAGTCGAGCACGATGTCTCCAAGTCCATTCTTCAACTCCACCAAATGAACTTCCTCGAACTCTATCCCGCATCCTTTAGCAACTCTGACCTCAGCCACCACCATCTTCTCTGCAATTTCCATGGCTTCAAAGAGCAACACCAGCTTCCCTTTCGCCAGCCCAATTGCTCCTCCTTTCCCTTCTTCCACTCTGTAATCAAGCTTTTCCCCAACCTCTTTAACTCTTTCAATCACTCTGCCTAGCCTCTCCGTCGAAGTGAACCGCTTCTCTTTCCTGCAGGTGGCCTCGAACAATCCTGACAGGTCCAAACCAGAGGACATGGAGATGATATCAAAGGCGTTGAAGCTCGAGAGCGGGGTCTCGAATTTGCACGATTTCGAGTACTCCGACTCGAACAGGCTTCGTTGTGAAGGCGTTTGGTACTTGTTGAGGAACCAGGGGTGGTTCATCAGCGTTTCTATGCTCATTCTTGTCTGGGGATTTGGGTCGAGCAGTTGGTGGACAATGAATCTGGCCGGCTTGGAAACCCACGCCGGGATTTGATACTGCTTCCGGTGGATCTTCTTGTACATGAGAGCCAAATTACTGTCGTCGAAGGGAAGAGAAGCGGAGAGGAGGAAGAAGAGAATCACCCCGCAGGACCAGGCGTCGGCTTTGGCGCCGTCGTAGCCGCGCCGGTAGAGGACTTCAGGCGCGGTGAAAGCAGGGGTTCCGCAAGCGGTATGGAGGATTCCGTTAACGCCCCCGTTCTTGGCCTCGGCGGCCTCGGCCAAGGCGGAGAGGCCGAAGTCGGAGACCTTGAGATTGCCGTCCCCGTCGAGGAGGAGGTTCTGCGGCTTGACGTCGCGGTGGGCGACGCCGTTCTCGTGGCAGAATCGGAGGGCGGAGACGAGCTGCTGGAAGTAGCGCCGGGCGCCTGATTCCTTCATCCGGCCGCGCTGGACGACTTTGGAGAACAAATCGCCGCCGACGGCGAGCTCCATGACGATGAAGATCTTGGTTTTCGTGGCCATGACCTCGAGGATTCGGAGGACGTTTGGGTGGTGCTGGAGGCGGCGCATCGCCTTGATCTCGCAGATGATTTTCGGCTCCATGACGGAATCGGTCTTGGTCTTGTCGATGATCTTGATCGCGACGGGCTTGTCGCCATCGGCGATTGTGTAGGCGGCGAAGACCTTGGCGAAGCTGCCGCGGCCGAGGAGGCGGCCCATTCTGTACTTGTTTAGGAGAGTCTCCGGAATCGACGTTGATCTATTGAGCGGGTTTTGCGGTCTCCGTTTTTGTTGCTGTTGTTGTGGTGGAGGAGGAGGCGGCGGTGGAAGTGGAGCGTCTTGCTGCGGTGGCGGTGACTGCCGGCGGAGCGTCATGGGGCAGCGGCGGAGGGGGAGAGAGAAGGGGGAGGATTCTGCCGTCTGGGATCTAATTGGGGACGGGGATTTCTACTTCTCTAGTGGTTGGGGAAAGAGGGTTTTGGTTTTATAATGTCAGAGTCCGGAAAAAAAAAAGAAAAAGAAATAATAATGCAACAAAACAAAAATAAAACTAAGAGAGAGAGAGTTTGGCAGTTGTACGTTCCATTTAGAATTCAGAATTCAGTAATTCACGTCGAGAACGACCTTTCCGATTTCCCCAAACTACCCCTCCCTCCAAATTTCTGTTTTGTTGTTTCTTTTGTTTCCGGGTTGTTCAATTAAATTTTCTTTTATTGTTTTTTTGGTAGCTGAAATTATGGTCTGTAACACAATACTTACGATTGTGCCAAATGAGTTTATGGAACCATTCTCTAATGGTGAAATTTTGATTTAAAATATAACATATGGTATGATAGAACTAATAATATAATAAATATAATTAACTGTAATATACAGAAAGAATAGAAAATAATCCATGGACCTTGAAAAAAGTCTTTATATATACCTTACGGATGGATTCTCTGGTCCAGTGGTGGAGTTATGATGAAGCTAGAAGGGCTCTAGTCCCCCTCAATTTCAAAAATTAGGTAAAAATATATGTAAATTTTACACAAATTTAAGAATTTGAATGGTAAGTCTTTAATCCCCATCTCCCAATTTGTGATAATTCAAGTATGCCTCCTCATTCGGATTTCTGGCTCCGCCACCGCTCCTGCCACTTTGTCTTCTCATTTGTTGATCAAGCTCTCACTTGTGGATCTTCTTCGACAAAGTCCCTTTTCAGTAACAACACAACTACGTGTCTGCACTTACTTAGTAGCACTAACACGTCATTCGACTCCTCGTCCCGCTTAGGTTGCAAAAGTTCCTCCTTATGTACATGTCTTGCCAGCAACACAAAAAGAGAGTTTTGCTCGTTACAGGTCTTGAACCAAACATCTCATATGGCACGAGCTCTTGATCGCCATGCAAAACCTCCATTCTATGAAACACTCAAGTAAAATTTAAAATGAACGTCGGTTTACCATAATAGATAGTAAGTTTGAGCGCATTGTATCATCCGATATAAATTCTTCGATTACATAAATGCATAATTGTATCACTCGAATCAGCGATAAGCGTTTCGTTGTGGTCCAACCACGATATCACGTCAGAATCATGGATGAAATATAATGGATAAAATATATGGGCTGATAATTCCAGTAGAGCTGAATTATTCCCTGCCTAGTATTTTTCTTTTCGTAGTCATTGGAGCAATAATAATATGAACGAAAAAGAGCGGTTGAGGAGAAACCTAGCATGTTGACGTACGTCGGCCGGTAGTGTTTATGTGCTGTGTGTGTGGAGAGACGGGAAAATATTGTTGAATTGTTACAGCTGATTTTTGTTATTACCAACCGGCCGGCGGGGACTTTGGGATTTTGGTTCTTTTCGGCGGCCAGCCTATATGATAAAATAAAAAACCAATTTTTTTGGGAAATGATTCCAAGCCTTGTTGGCTAACCACACGTAGAGGACAAAAATGGTTATAATTTCCAAAACTAGCCTCAGTGGGAATGGAGGTTTGTGATGTGTTTTTATTCTGAAAAAATAGATCATCAAAATTCGATTTATTGGAGTGTTGTTTGGAGCGATAGAGATTAGGTTTGACTCCAAGAAAAGCCCTACACATTAAGTTTCAAGAGGAAAATTTTACCATTTGGAATATAACATAGCATGAGGAATAATGTGCAACAAGGAAAAAATAACTTTGTATTAGTTATTATATACAATAAACATAATCCTTTTATATTCTCCAACATCTCTCTGGTCCAAATTCCCCATCGTGCTAACGAGATTGTCGCCAAAGTAGTTCAGACGTTAGACTCACTTGAACAAAGTTTTGCAGTTCAATTTCCACTCTCCCGTCAAAGTGTTCTACAAGAAAATTTTCAGTCACTATGAAAGTGTTGTGCACATACTAGGCAACCACCTTTGTAGTGAATTGACATTCCGTGTTTCTATAAAGTCTCGATCTTTATATAATATTGTCAGAGTTTTTTCAATCTGAGTCGTCTGAACGATAATTGCTCTATGCTAAATGCAGTATATGTTCAATCTTATGTTATCATGATACAAATAAGTATATTATGTTATCGATCGATGAAGTGTATACTGTGGCCACATGTGTTGCGGTGTGGTAGGCAAATTCATAGGTTATGTGGACAACCAATAAAAAACAAGCAATTGAGTATCAAGAATTTCATAAATAAGAAATGTACATTTTATTTTTTGTTATCCAAAAAGGAGTATTGTGCTTTTGTTTTTACGAGAAGAAATATTATAACTCCTTGCATAACTGGTACGTAAAAGAATAAGATGGTTTCCCCAAAGCAAATTAGGGCTTGAATGTTAATAATTTAAAAAATAAAGTGTTAATTAATTACTTGATTATATCGATCCTACAAGACCCTGACGAGGCAAAAATAGTGGCAATGAAACGCCAATGTGTTTGAACATGACAATACCTAAATTAACATTGGTGTCTCTTTTGTCTTCTGCCCATCTTCTGAGGAGAAATTGATAGAATGTGTAGATGTATTTGAGATTGTATCAATACAGACATTTTGGTGGATTTTTCCCCAAATAAAGAGTGCACAAAAGGGAAAATAACAATACGCAGTTCCTTTATTTATCCACTTGAGAAAAAGATAGTCTGGAGATATTTTCCCAATATAGAAAAAAGGACCAATGAAAAACAACTCTATTAATAGAAAAGAAGAGAAACAAGAAATAGTAGATATTTGATATTCCCTAATACAGAGACTAGGAGATACTAAAACAAATTGTTAATGTATATTCTTGTTATCTTGACGAATCAAGTGAATGGACTAGAGAAACAGTGGAAAATTTACTCAGACGTAAGAGGAACTTGTACTTCTGAAAAAGAATTGCTTTCTCACGTTGTTTGAAGAGGTAGATCGATGGGAAGGAAGCTCTTTGTCCATTGATTTGGTAGATGAGGAAGTGCCTAACCATGTTGGATTCTTGGATCTCTATTTGATAGATTTTGGTTAGGGTTGTAAATGAGTCGAGCTACTCGCGAGCAATTCGAGATTCGAATCGGGGAAAACTCGTTCGAAACTCGACTCGTTTACTAACGAGCCAAGCTTGAGTTTAGCTTTGTTCAACTCGCGAATCTCGCGAGCTAGCTCGACTAGGTGGCTTGTTGAGCTCAACTCGTGGGTTGGCTCATTAAGAGCTCATGATGAGATGTCTCAACATTGTGGTTTGAGGGTCAACTTGATCTCCGACTTATGGACGAATCGATCTAATTTGGACTTTCATAATTCATAGGATTGTTAAATTATATATCTCACATCATGTGAAGTTTAACATGGTGAACATGTAAGAAAATATGCCTTATTTTTAATTCTATAAAGAAATTATGTACAAAATTGTTTTGATACTATGAATGTATGTATTAAATATGATCTAAGAATTTAGTAGACAAGTCTAGTTCGAACTCGACTCGGCTCGTTAGTAAATGGCTCGAGCTCAGCTCATATGTTAACGAGTCAAGCTCAAGCTGGGGTAAAACTCGGCTCAGCTCGGCTCATTTGCAGCCCTAATTTTGATGTTGTTTGCTAATGGGATTTGGAAATTGGAATTTGGTGTTCAAATACCAACTATTAAGTTTTTGGACAAATTCATTGTTTGTTAGGGTATGCAAATCATTGGAACCCAAGGATTTGTAAGTATCACATTTCATTTAGTATTTGGTTATGGAAGGCAAAATTTTGAAACCCAAATACCAAATCAACTAAATCCATGATAAAAAAAATCAACTAAACAAACAATGTTATCTTTCAGATACAAAATGCATGCAACAAAACCTTCATAAATCCAAAGGTTTTCAAAACTCAAAACCTTCTTTTAATTTGGTTTTCTTTTGTATCATCATGACTGATGGAGTTATTAGGGCTGGGAAAATAGACCAGACCGTTAGAAAAACCGTGGTCCAAACCTTACTGCACAGTTTGGTCCTGACCGTAGACCGTGAAGTATGGTCTGGTCTGGTCCATGGTCTGTATTATTTTATGATTTGATCTCTTGGTCTGGTCTGGTCTAGACCGCGGTTTACCGGACCAAACCGTGGACCCAACTGACTTATCAATACGTGTTAACAGCCCATTCGACCACTCTCCAAACTCCCACGACGACACCCAAGTCTCAACCTTAATTTTGTGAATCTCTTCCCTCCTTCATTCACAACCACATTTAATCAGAGAGTAGAGATAATAGTGTCTCCATATGACATTATGTTAATGTTTATGATGTTATGGTGCAAGCTGTGATGTTTTTACTTTGTATCTTTGTTATGTACAAAGATTTAGAGTATCAAAATTATTCATGCATGTTAGGATTAATGTTTTAAGGCAAATAACAATTATTTTTCTTGGTTATTGGCAATTTTTTGTGTGGTTGACTAAACAAATTATTCATTTTTCGTTGAGTGTGGTCTATCTGGACCAGACCAGACCGAACCAGACCGCACAGGCGTGGTCTGGACCGGACCGTATAGTCTGTGGTCTGGTCTGTGGTCTATACTTTAGCCTCTTGATCTAGACCATAGACCGTACCGTTTCCCCCCTAGGAGTTATGCGTAATCGGAAAATTAGTACAATCCCTAAATATTTGATTTGTGTTTTAAGTTATCTTATATATGTTGAAGAAATATTAAAAAAAGTGATAGAATATCATTTCGTTGTCATATTACTTCAATTTTCCTCGGTTGTTGTGGGAACAAAATTTGACAATACAACTTAAATTAGTTGAAATCAATGAAACTACTTTAAGTAGCTTCATTGATATATTCAAAAGCGGTTTATTATGAGTTCCTATAAGTTGTAGGAATAGTTTTAAAGGATTCTATAACAAAATCTCACTTGACTGGCCACTTTGTACATATTTTT